AGATAGGCCGAAAAAATTAACAAAGGAAACTTTTTCTTCTTCAAAATAGTTTAAAGGCAGAACCTTATGTGCCGCGCGGTGTACAAAATGCTTCCACACAAGAGCAGCCAGCAAGGCGTCTTTGACAAAGCATAGTCGTGACGTCATTTTTTTTGGTTTGGCGCGTAGTTTGAATTGTTTGAGTGAGACAACTTGACCGAATCGGCACGCGATCGGTGTGCCTCTTCATCGGCCTCCCGTCAGCCAGACTTGCTGCTGCTGCGCTGTTGGTGGTCCTGTCTACGGGCGTTTTGATAGTAAATGTTTGATGAACGTCGCAGAATTGGCTATGATATGCTGTTTTGAGAACCAATTCACTTATTCGGCAAGAAACAGGAGGACGCACAAAATTCCCATGCAGCTGGCTCCATGATCACTTTGTCCGGCACGCGTGTCAGGTATGTTTATTTGAACGGTTTAACAAGGTTATGATGGCAGGAAAGTGCACTGCAACAGACGTGTTCTTAGAACGAGCGAAAGGCTCGTGGTTATGTACTATCTCGATGAAAAGAAGCGCGAACAGCGTAAAGCGTGGAAGTGTCGAACTTCTACACGTTTTCACAATCGCTGGGCGACTCACTTTCACTGTTGCTTTTGACGGGCTTCGCTGTAGCGCTAGAACTTCGCTCCGGCCGGCGCTATCGCATTACGTGTAGAGTGACTAGTTGGGCGAGTTGGTTCATGGTAGCATTTAGCGCGAAATAAACACCAGAGACAGGCAAGCACTTGTCCATCTCTTGTGTTTATTTTGCGCTAAAAGCTACCGTAAGCATTGCGTGTGTTCCGAGTGCAGTGCACGACTGCAGGGCGATACCCGTAACACGCAGTGGCGAACACGTTTTCCACGGTAATTTTTATAGCAGCTGCCAGACGCTCTTTCTTATCGCCTCTTGCAGCTACGCCGGATATGCAACATATATAACCTTGTTATGTCGCTACGCGTACAGTCACCGCCTCACGAGGTAATCCGCAGACTTAAACGCTTCAAAATGCTGACGTGTCACCTTGATGTTTGAGGCGATCAGCACTTGATAAAGGATACAGTGCCGAATAGTGCTTGTCTGCCTGTCTGCCTTGCAGAGACGTGACCAGAATTTTTTTTTTTTCGGGTGGGGGGTGGGGGAGGGCGCACACATCGGCTTTCTTCTGTGTCGTGACTATCGGCAGTAATTTGAGCAGATCAATTCTGTACATGCATTTCAAAGTCATGACACTCCACCCGACCCTATCCATGCGTATGCTTGTGAGGAGAGGAAGTAAAAGCGATGTAATCGCAGTAATAAAATACTGTAAACGACAGGTACAGTGGCTGTTTGGAGCAACGGCCTCTTGTCGCACCATTGAATGGACTAATTTTCGAGAACGAATCAATAAGGCGACCCGCTTGATCAGAGAAGACATCGTTAATAGTTAATATCTAATGAGCGTAGATGACGTTTAGTCCTCGTCGTGGCGAAGTGCATTTCACAAGTCACGGACGGCCTTACAACGAGGAATGACAGGCATATGCAGCATGTTTTTGTACATTTAAAAATACATTTTGGTTTTGTTTAACTTGCTGAGCGAATCCCTCATGTCGATGTTAGTGACTGCAGGCCTATTGGAATGATTTTTATATTAAGCTCTATATGTGAAGCAGCCCGGACATGGCGATAGCTTTCAGTCAACATATTTACTTTACGCAAGCAGGCTACAAAATACAATAACTAGTTTTTTTTGTAAGTTATGCTGCACGTTCGCTACATGATTTCGCACGCGTTCTTTTTCGGGCAGACTTTCTCGCAACCTTGTTGAATTCTAATAGAATACAATATCCCTAACATATTTTTGCGACGCTTTGCAGCGTCTGTTGCGCAATACTTAGTCGTCATTTTTCGTGTCTTTTTTGTTGTCCGCGGAATTGCCAGAAGACTGGAAGGCGGCACGAATTGTTCCTATATTAAACGTATTCGTGATGGCAGAAAGTAATGAATAACTATTGCGCTGCAAACGAAAATGCCGCGTCGATTCGTGTGTTCACCTTGTGAGCGTAAACAAAAACCTCGCAGAGCCGGCGTGTACCGCTTAAAGTCCGACCAAGTGCGCATAAATGCAATGTTCTCTGCTCAACACCAATTGAATTGGTTGGGCCCTACTTGAAGGTTAAGCGACTCGGCACAATGAACAGATGACGCGTAGTCCCTTGGTAAGTGGCGATTCTACGGGCCTTGTTAATGATAATGCACACGTGGTGTGGCAGCGTCTCGCAGATTTAGTGGTGGATCGCAGCGTCTCGCAGATCAGCGGTGGCTCACGCAGTGACGACAAACTTGCCGCCACCAGCCTTTCCGTTGCAACATGATCGGTGCCGACTCAGCAGTGATGTGCAGATTATCACCGTCTAAAACGAGGCATCGTTTCTCACGACGACGAAATCAGTGTGCCTAATATATGACAAATATTTACAAGCATGAGTAGTAGAATCGTGGTTCTCCCACGCCACGGTTACGACACTGCTGTCCGTTTCACGGAGCCACTCTCGTTTCTTGTCACTACCGTCATGTGCTATAGGATACTCTTGGAAACTCCAGGTAGGGCCCATAACGCCAGAGAGCTGGTAGAAGGGAAATTTCGCCATATTGGGACTGCGACAAACAGGTGGAATGTACACGTTTGCCTAACAAGCTCAGCCTGTGTATGAATATTGATAGCTTCCTATACTATAGCCAAGAGTCCGAGGGCAATCTTTGGTCGCATCCGGAATCTGAAAAACCGATAACCTTTTTATTGCGAGTGTGTGTTTTTTTTGGCAAATCCGAGCTACAAAATTCAAATGCATTTTTGTAGCGCCTTCTTGAAGAAATAAGTGACTGCGTAATGGAATGTCAGTTACTGTGATGGCATGGTTTATGGTGCATTTGCCAAAACATTTGTCCGATATATCAGGAGTCATGCAGGCTATTTCTTCTCAAATTCCGCCGTGTAAGGCCAATATACTGCAGAAAGAGTTTGTTTTTTGTGCGTGCGATTGGCCACCCTACGTGGACTCGATGGCGGAACAGTATCATCTGACTCCAGATCAGAAGGTTGCGTGTTCGAATCACGTCCGGATCAAGATCTCTTTTTTTCATTTTCATCTATCTGTCTATCTACTTATCTATCTAGAATGGCTTGTCCCTTTACACGTGCTTCCTCAACAGAAGGCCGAGCAAAACCTGCTACCACGTGTGTGCAAAGGCCTCCCCCCCCCCTCCGAAATTGACTCGGTGGCGCAATGTGAGCGCGTCTGACTCAAGATCAGAAGGTTGCATGTTCGAATCCCGTCCGGGTCAAGCTCTGTTTTTTTTCACTTTCATCTATCCGTATCCATTTATCTGTTCATCTACATTACTTGTCCCTTTACCTGTTCTTCATTGACAGAAGACCTTGCCAAACATGCTACCACGTGTGTGCAAAGGCCTCCCCCCCCCCTCCGAAATTGACTCGGTGGCGCAATGTTAACGCGTCTGACTCCAGATCAGAAGGTTGCGTGTTCGAATCCCGTCCGGGTCAAGCTCTGTTTTTTTTTTCACTTTCATCTATCCGTATCCATTTATCTCTTCATCTACATTACTTGTCCCTTTACCTGTTCTTCATTGACAGAAGGCCTTGCAAAACATGCTACCGCGTGGGTGCCAAAGCCCCCCCCCCCCTGAAATTGACTCGGTGGCGCAATGTTAGCGCGTCTGACTCCAGATCAGAAGTTTGCGTGTTGGAATCAAATCCTGGTCGATTTCTCCTTTTTTTCAATTTCATCTATCTGTATCTATTTATCTGTCTATCTGCAATGACTTGTCCCTTTACCTGTGCTTCATTGACAGAAGGCTGAGCAAAACATGCTGCACCCTCTGTGCGAATGGACTCGGTGGCGCAAAGATTCCACTTACGGCCACCGCAGTGTACGGACGTGTGCATCATGTGCTCCAATTGGGGCAATTTCAGCGGCCCAGATGGGCCGTGTAAACAGGATTGTTGCCGATGAAAAACAGGATTACAAAGTCGTGCTGCCACAATTGCCCACAGGTGCGTATGTTCATAATACTATTTTTCTACACAGAGATATGCAAGACCTTATTGTGCTGAGGATGTACGCGATGCTTTGACACACCAGGGTATGCCGCCTGGGGTAATTGTTATAGGCGCATTCCATATGAGTCACATCTGGGCTGTGTTTTTCAGTACAGCACAACCCACGAAGAACATGTTAGCGCTTAGCGACGTAAAGATCAAGGAAAAACGTCCTCGTCATTGACCCGAACAACCAGGATGTGCGGCTAAAACTTTATTGGCTACTACATAATGTACCAGACGAAGACATGCGCACCGCGTGCTAGTTAACCATGGAAAAGTAACCGAAGTAACGGAAGAACTATGGCGCGTCCATAGAATCGCTGAATCCTCGACCAGGAGAGTAAACCTGCAGCTGAAAAAGGGCGTGACCATCGAAGTAATGCCACGCCAACTCCAAGTGCGCGGCATAAACACGCTTTTGGTTGTGCCAGGACGGGCGCCACTTTCCTTACGGTGCCGACGAACGGGCCATACACGGCGGGACTGTCGCGTACCTCGCTGCGACTGGTGCAAACTCTATGGGCACGGAGACAGTGAATGTGTCCAGCCCTACACCAGTGTGAATGGGCATAGTTCAATGTCGTAACGCATTAAATGTAGGAAAAACCGCTGCAACCTGGGTGAGATATCACCTATTGCTTTTTTATAGATGGCAATCCAGGGGCGATTATCAGCTTCGACTCCTACTTTGCGTCCGCATACGAAGTGGTCAAATCGTTCACAGGCGCACAGAGTGGTCATTGTCTCTTTTTATACTTGAGAATACCGCTGCACCGTATCCGATAATACCTTTGACGCATATGCCACGGGTTTCCAATGACTGCCATGACGTTGCAGAAGCACTGGCTGGTGATAGCGTCGCGGAATATGTAATGGACGAAGTTGATGCAGAAGAAGCCGCCGGCAGCATGACTCAAGGTCCGGCGTTCACGCCACTCTCTAAGGGCCCCAATGACGATGAATTCGAAGCAGCTCAGGATGAGCATACCGGTGGTATCAGTCAACAGAGCAAGAACCCTAGCATCGTACCTTCAGACAAAAAGCGTGACGAGAAGGATGAAAGTACCGTGACGTCGACTGAACATTCTTAAGTCATGGATGCCACTAGTGTGGGGGAGGAGGCGGGGCACGTGCAAAGCCTTCACGCGAGGAGGGTACTAAAGAGGACGCAGGACAACAGAAAACGATTGGAAGTGAGCCGGCAGCCAAATCACCAGCACACAGGCGACTCAGTTCCGGGTTCACAAAGCCGAACATCGCGGCAGGCGCGCGTCCACCGCCAAAGCCACCCTTCGTAGTGACGGGCGCATACTTTCAACGAGGGAGCAAAATCAGTAGGTGGATAAAAATGCGACAAAGATGGCTTCATCATTATGTAAAGCGTGTGGAGGGGCCGGACTTGTTCGTGTATACCCTCAAATTCAACCGTGAAAGCCAGGGTTCTTTCATGTGGGGAGGTAAGAGCCATGTAGTCTGCACTATCGTTCGCACGGCCTTCACAGCATGAAACGGAGTTACGTGTCGCTACCTTAAATGTTCGTGGCCTACGCTCTAGACGAAAGAAGTACAGTATCAGGTTAGTCGCCCCTTTCTCGAGGACAACCTCGATATGGTAGCGGTACAGGAAACGAAGGTCGAAAGGCAAGAACAAGCGGACTGTATGGTCGAACCTTTTAGCCCCGAAATAATGTTTGTATTTCTCACTCTGTTGGTACCTCGGGGTAGGGGGGGGGGGAGGAAGCGCCCTTTTTTTGCGCAATTCTTTAGGGTTAGTTGAAGAATGCATCCATACTACCGATAATGGCCGCCTTGTCTCGTGCGATTCTGTGTGGTTTGGAGTGAAATGGCGTATCATTTGTGTATATGCACCGAACAGTGCAACTGAGTGGTTACCCTTCTTTGCACGTGTCGAAGAGTATTTAAAATGTGAAAGACATGTGATACTGCTGGGCGATTTCAACTGTGTGTGTTTCTGAAAAGATAGGATCAAAAGGCTAACCACACGTGATCAAAGTGCCTTGTTCTTGTCAGAGCTTATGCAAGATAGGGGGTTGAAAGATGTTGGCAATGTTTTGCTAAATGGAAATGGCCTTAAGTACACGCACTTCCAGCACGATTGCTGTGCCCGATTAGACAGAGCGTACGTATCGCAAGCACTTTTGCCGGTATGTAACACTTGTAAGCATAAACCGGTAGCCTTCAGTGACCATAGCGCCGTAATGTTTACGATAGGTGCGAAAAACAAAAAGCCAATCTTTTCGTGGAAGTTTTGGAAAGTGAACAATAAATTACTTAGCGATGAAGTCTTCGTGGACAAGGTTAAAATACTCATTGATAAAATACTCTTGACTGAGTAGGGGCGATTGGTCCCTGCATGGGAAGAGTTCAAGCAAGAAGTTAAAATTGCTCTTGTTGCTCTTGTTGCTCAAACTCATTTTGTCACTTGAGAGCACGCGACCAGACACCTTAGCGAAAGAGATAGTAGAAGTGAAAAACCAGCTCGAAAAAGCGGACGTAGAAAAATACAAAGAAGCAGTTATACGCGCACGCGCAGAGCACTTTTGGATGGGCGAAACACCGGCGAAACGCTCACGGTGCTAATAAAATGGCTAGGCTTCCCATAATAAAATAAAATGCATAAAAAATAAGGAGCTGACCACCACTAACAAACAAATGATAAAACAAGCGTTTGTCGATTATTACAAAGGATTGCTGGGCAGGAGTGGTAGAAGAGAAAAAGCCTTGGACGGCGAGTTCTTGTCAATAATGCCTATACTAGATAAGGAGACTACCGAACGCCTGGAGCAGCCAATTTCAGTTGGAGAAATAGAAAAGGCCATTGACGAATTGACTGAAGGGAAAACGCCCGGCCCAGACGCACTATGTGCAGCCTTTTACGAAACATTCAAAGATGAGCTGTCGGAGGTACTTTGTCGCCTCTTTGCAGAGGCTTAAGAAGTAAAGGAAATGCCGCCGTCCTTTCGAAGGTCACACATTGTACTTATCCCGAACAGTGATGAACAGGTAAAGCTCTTGGCGGTGAGCGCTTATCGCCCCATAAGCATCACTAACACAGACTACGGGGTTTTTATGAAGGAGTTTGCCAAGAGATTACAAAGTGTGATAAAGGCTTTAGTAGGACCAAACATGTCGAATTAGGGGTCGAACAATTGGCACCAACATCCACACCACGAGGAGCATTCTCGAGTGCTCTGATGTATGGGACAGCTAAGTACCAATGTTGCAACTAGACCTTGAAAAGGCTTTTGACCGTGTTGTGCATGCAGTATTATTTTCAATATTGGAACATGTAAATATTGGAAGTGTTATATTAGATGGCGTAAAATGTCGTATAGGAACTGCTTTGCTAGCCTTGTTATCAACAAATAAGTCACAAAAAACGTTCCGATTGCTAGGAGTGCTCGTCAGGGATGCACAATTTCCCCATTGTTATTTGCCTTGTATTTGGAACCCTTTTGTTTGAACATAGGTAGCAATGACATAATACGTGGCTTTCAGTTGATGACTACTGAGGTCAAAGTATTGTCATACGCAGACAATATCGCTGTTTTTGGCAAGGACAGGAAAATCATTAGTGAAGCAGCTAGCGAAGCAGATAAGTACTGCAAGCGGTCAGGCAGTGCTTTAAATTGGGATACGAGGGTACGTTTCTAACTTGAAACCTGGGACGAAAACCCTGACGTCTTAGGAAAGGTGAAGTGGAGCTCCGTGCCGACGAAGTACCTTGGTGCATAATTGCAGAGTCATAATTCCACTGAATATTGGAAAGAAGAAACGGAAAACTTAAGAGAGAAAGTGAACAAGTGGGGAGGAAAAAACCTCTCAATATTCGCGAGGTGAACGGTCTGCAATATCATTCTTGCGGCCTAAATTTGGTATATACTTCAAATGCTGTGCATGCACCGCTCAAGCATACAAAAGGTAAACAGAGTTTTTGCCACTTTTGTTTGGGCCTATAAGTAGAAGGCTGGAGCCATACAAATCTTTTCCGCTCAGCGAGGGCGGTTGGGCTGCGAATAGCCCACTTATGCTTCAAGCAAATAGTTTCAAGGTTTATTTTTTGCGTGATCAAAGGCATCGTTTCTTTCGTACTATGCTTCAAAGTAGATTATGCTGTTATCTACCCGAATTCGTTGTATCTTGCTATTGTGCTGGGCGCATAGGCATTCATGGTTATCTGCGCAAAGTGGTGTCTGCTTTCACTATACTAGACGGACGTTTTTCGTTACGTTATCCACGTGGGGTAACAAAAAAACAACGATATAAGGACCTTACCGATGTAATGCTACCTATGCCGATGTACCGTACGACGTACGGGAAAAATCCTGGGAAAAACGTCCTGAAAATGTTTAGAGAATGGGTGTACGACCATCAGCAAATACATTTTCTTTCAACTACACCCCGGCACGCTTCCGGTAAAACCATTGCAACAGGAAAAAGGTTTATTTGTCCCATGATCTGTTAATTGTCTTTTATGTCACAAGCCAGAGAGCATTGGTCACCTATTTTTAGATTGTTTGGACGCTACATTTTTTTGGGACATTCTGCAAAGAACTTCAAGAAAAGAACTTATGGAACTTACCACCTTACGGAATCCGTTTTCTACCTTTCTATAGCGACACTGGAATACCGTATGATACATTTATGTTATTAAAAATTCACGCCATCTGGAAAGCATGCATGGTATATATCGTCATCTTGATGTTAATGCATGTCCTTTCAGAAAATACTTCATTGAAAGCCTACCCTATATAAAATATGTACTTATGCAGCCAGAGTGGCTACCTGTAGTGAATGAACTGGTCGCGCTGAAACTTTTTTTTAATATTACTACACCAAGCAATGTGTGTTTGGTGTTTTCAAAAGCATCTTTGTACTTCTTGCGAAAGTGTTTTTTTTATGTGTGCACATGATGTACTAAACTCTGGATAAAGAAAAAAAAGGGACTCGGTGGCGCAACGCTCATGCGTCTCACTCCAGATCAGAAGGTTGCGTGTTCGAATCACTGTGTCCGGGTCAAGTTCTTTTTTTTCATTTTCATTTATCTGTCTATCCACTTATCTGTCTGTCCTCAATGACTTGTCCATTTACCTGTGCTTCATCGACAAAAGAACGAGCAAAACGTACTACCCCGTGTGTGTGAACGGCTACCCTAAGTGGACTGGGTGACGCAACGGTAGCGCGTCTGACCCTAGATCAGAAGGTTGCGTGTTCAAATGACGTCCGGGTCAAATTCTCTATTTTAAATATTTTCATCCATCTGTCTATCCATTTATCTGTCTATGTACAATGACTTGTCACTTTATATGCGCTTCATTGACAGAAGACCGAGCAAAACATGCTACCGCGTGTGTGCGAATGACCACCCTGAGTGGACTCGGTGGCACGACGGTAGGGCGTCTGACTCCAGATCAGAAGGTTGCATGTTCGAATGATGTCCGGGTCAAATTCTCTTTTTTAAATATTTTCATCCATCTGTCTATCTATTTATCTGTCTATGTACAATGACTTGTCACTTTATATGCGCTTCATCGAAAGAATACCGAGCAAAACATGCTACCACGTGTGTGCGAATGACCACCCTGAGTGGACTCGGTGGCGCGACGGTAGGGCGTCTGACTCCAGATCAGAAGGTTGCGTGTTCGAATGACGTCCGGATCAAATTCTCTTTTTTGAATATTTTCATCCATCTGTCTATCTATTTATCTGTCTATGTACAATAACTTGTCGCTTTATATGTGCTTCACCGACAGAATACCGAGCAAAACATGCTACCGCGTGTGTGCGAATGACCACCCTGAGCAGACTCGGTGGTGCGACGGTAGGGCGTCTGACTCCAGATCAGAAGGTTGCGTGTTCAAATGACGTCCGGGTCAAATTCTCTTCTTTAAATATTTTCATCCATCTGTCTATCTATTTATCTGTCTATGTACAATGACTTGTCGCTTTATATGTGCTTCATCGAAAGAATACCGAGCAAAACATGCTACCGCGTGTGTGCGAATGACCACCCTGAGTGGACTCGGTGGCGCGACGGTAGGGCGTC